TGAAGCACGGAAGTTATGCTGAATTTTTCCGCAGCGAAGCACGGTAGGAAGTGGTAGGACTCCAGTTGCCCGCGGATAGCCACTAGAACGACGCATTCCTTGTGAATTCAATAAGGTGAGGGAAAATCTCCCAGTTTCAATTATGTTTTTTTCTGAGAGATTATAGGACTCAACGTTCTAATTAATGAAAATTTAATATGAAGAATTTCGAATTAACAATATTTTAGGGTCATATTGCTTATTTGCATGGTCCTAAACACTATGTCCAATTTGAAAAGCTGAATCCCACAGCCTTCAATCACAGAACTTAGCTTTTGATGAAATTATGTGAATTATCGAAAGATTCGTGATTTTCTTTCATCAAGTTTCCTCTTTTTGTGAACCATTGAAAAATATGTTGATTTCTAAATGCCGATTTCTCCTGAAAATTTTCTAATTTGAAAATTAATGAAAAATATAAAATCATTCAATCATATTTCATGCGCTTTTAAAATTTTGGCTGCAATAGTAAGACCAACATTTAGAATACAGTAATACACACAGAATACCCAATAGAAATAAACTTGCAACCTGGTTCGTCAAAAGAAGTGAAAGGAGTTCCCTGGAGAATTGTCCTAGTTTCGTACGTCTCTAAAAGAATCAGAAGGAAATCCTTGATGGGAAGATTTTAAAAATCTTTTCTGAACTTTTTCAAAATATGCCCAAGTTTGAAGGAACAATTCCGAAATTGTGGCAGAATATAGCGTTCAATTTTAATCCAATTCGGGAAACCCTTTTTTGTTCTGCTTTTTAAAAAATAATTATTTGCTTCGAATAATTTTCATTGGACGAATCTATTGGTGGAATAAACTACAGTATTTCCGATGTCCCGGCCCAACTTACAAGAGTCGTGCAGAACTAAAACAGAGAGCTGCTCCAGTTCTCCGCCTCCAAATCATTTGTCTGCATCGTCACTGTAATATTTAAAAAACATTGTAAAAAAATCTTAGACAAACCTGAAATCTTTTTAGTTTCAATGTCCCGAGGTTATGGTAGCCAGTCGGTCTGCAAAAGTTATTCTTCCGCATTCAAAGGCGTGCGAAACTATAAGGAACCCCGTGTTGGGAAACCTCTCAATCATTTCAAGAAAACACTTATGCATCATTAAGTACATATTAAACATTCAAAAAATTGTTTTTATCAAATTCGCTATAATCATAGAGTTTCTATAAGGCTAGTTCAGCTGATTTGTCTCTCGTGGAATTTCAAATCAGAAGAAAGCGAGGATGCCAGTGCTGCCAACACTCGCCTTCACTTTCGCTGCTTTCATGGCCCTTCTGAATCTGACCACGATTCATGCGGCCAGCGAAGAAGAGCACGAGACAAAGAAGGCGAACTGGAATTGCTGCTTAGCTTGTCAAGATGCCCCTCAAGCCATTCACCCAGAACCAACAGTTTATCCCCCGGAATGCTTCACCAAGTGCACATACACTGTAACCAAATACACCGCAGCCATTTCCAAGAAGTGCAAATGTGACCCTGACAAAGAAGCCGCTGCTGCGAAGGCGTCTCGGCTCGAAGACGATCCGCCGTCCCTCGATCCTTCAGAGGTTTTCTTTCCGTTGAATTCATCTGCCGAGACAATAATACGATAAAGCGTCGAAATTCGTCAATGTGAATCCGTTTCAGATCGAAAATCCC